GCAAGTGTGAGGTCCTGAGTTCAAACCCCAGGACTTTAAAAAAATGAAAAAAGCAACAACATTCTGTCTTCCCCAAATGTCTTTCTCTTTTTTTTTGTTTCTTGCTCTAACCAAGGACATACCTAGCCACCCAAGTCCTCTGAGCACTTCTTGCTCTGGCTTCCTCTCAGGTCACTGTCCAATACCCACAGGTCACTCAGTGGTGCCCACTTTCCCTGTTCAATTCTGACGGCATCTGTCCCCTCCCTCCCTGTCCTCCCACCTCTGCCATCCTGGCTGGTGGCAGGCATTTCTTGTCTGGTGCCAGGACTCCAGGGCTGTCACCTCTCACTCACAGTGGCCACTCCGTCCTGCTTCCTAATTGTCTGTGGACACACTTCCTGAGTCCAACTCTGTGGCATGTGTGGAGCCTTTGGTGAGAATCACAAAGTCATAAAGCTTCCTCCAATTTCCCTCCCCATGGCCTCACACTTCCCAGATATGCTCAACACCTCATAGGACGCAGAGTGTGCCCAACTCTCCCTTCTGTGGCACTGCTCTGCCTGCCTTCCTGGCCTGACTGCCTCCTCCCCATCCCCACAGGCCAGCTGTGCCACCTTCCATGTGTCTCTGGAAGATCCCTGCACCTCCTGCCCCTCCGCCTCCCCACGTCATTTCCTTGACCTCCTTACTTGTCGGCCTCCTTCCCACAGTGCCACAAAATTCAGGGTCAGCCAGACCTTCTGGGTTTGAATCCTGCTCTGCCAGTACAGCTGTGACCATCCAGCAATGGACTTAATTTCCATGCCTCAGTTTCCACACCTGTGAGATGAGGCATGCCCACCCACAAGACTGGTGTGAAGATGAAGCAAGTTAATATGCGCACAGAGTTCAGAATGGTGCTTGGCCCTGGGAAGGCTGCACAGGGCTTTTCTGTCGGTACACTGTCACCCATCCTGCCCCAGGGCAATGTCTGGACCCATGGATGCTCACTCCCTGCGTAAGTACTTGCTCTTTTGAGCAAAGTGATTTGGGCAAATACTTTAGTAAAAGTACGCATTCTAAAAAAAAAAAAAAGAAAGTAGCAGTTGTACTTTAACCCAACACTACCCACCTGCACTCACAAAATACAGGGAAATGCCATTTGTAGCCACTTTCAAATATCTCGAATGCAAACTGCAGCCATCCAGAACCCAGCCCCTCCTTGCAGCTCGGGTGCATCGCCATAAAAACAACCTCCCCCATTAATTTTAATTCCCTAAATGGCAAATGCAGCAGCCCTGCATTGAACTAATGGCCTGTAGAATCTCACATCTAATGTTCTCTGAAAATGCTTCGAGGTCATCGCATAGCGGGACTTTCTTGGGTCATTCCCTCTTCCCACTAATCCTTCTTCTAAGGATTGCCTCCTGGCCAGTGACAGGGTGGGACAGGACCTTTGCCACTTTGGTCTTATTACAATAAAATCTTCCCAGCAACAAATAGCCTCACTCACATGTCTTATTGTACCTCAAAGACCTAAACACACCAGAAATGTGGTCCATGCACTAGAGGAGTTCTTGAAAGAAAAAAATAGGGTAATAGGATATGGGGAGGAGATGCAGAGAGAGAGAGAGAGAGAGAGAGAGAGACGGAGGGAGACAAAGAGAGAAAGAAAAGGAAGGAAGGAAGGAAGGAAGGAAGGAAGGAAGGAAGGAAGGGAGGGAAGGAGGGAGAGAAGCAGGAAGGGAGGAAGGAGGGGAGGGAAGAAAGGAAGGAAGGAAGTGAAGAAGGCAGGAGGGAAGAAGGAGGAGAGGAAAGAAGGAGGAAGGAGGGGAAGAAAGAAAGAAGGAGGGGAGGAAAGAAAGAAGGAGGGGAGGCAAGAAAGAAGGGAGGAAAGGAAGAAGGAAGGGAGAAAGGAAGGGAGGGAGGGAGGAAGGAAAGAATAAGGAAGATGGGCCTGAGTTTCTGAAGGTGGTATGCCTTGTGGGTGGGTGGTTGGAGAGCCATGTGACTCAGGATGTGACAGGCAGCAGCTCTCCTTTCCCACTGCTCCCCAATACCCAGAAGCCCAGAGTGGCAGCTATCATGAGTGCCTCAGTGCATGGGCTATACACTCCATCTGTCCCCGGAACGCCTTAATTTCCATTTTCCACCAGCTTGGACAGACTGGAGAGACTTGGTGAAATTCATCCTCCTCTCAGAAGGCAGTGGGGATTTGGGTCGGGGAGCGTGACGTGTGGGCCATGCATGGGTCCTCTGGAGGCCTTGTCTTCTCTCCTCCCTGGCTCTGGAGCTTTGAACTTCAGTCTGTTGACCATCGCTCCAGTCACCTCTCTCTTTTCTTTCCTCCTGTGAAGTCTGAAGAACTGGGAACAACTGACTTTTAGTAAGAATGTATCACTCTCCTTTCTCCCACGGGCAGGATGTCTGTGCAGTGTCCCCTCCTCCGTCTCACAGCCTTTCTGAGAGGGGCTTCCAGGCTCTCAATCACTCTGTATTCAGTAGGATGGGGAAGTGGGGGGGGTGGTTAGAGACACCTGCTGATGTTGGATGAAGGGCCGTGTCACGAGCAGGGCTCTGCTGAGCTGTTGTGCAATGAGTAACCAAGGAGAGCAGAACTGCCTGTGCGCCCCACATTGGAGGACTCTAAAAAACCTCTGTGGGGGAATGTCTCTAAAAGATCTGTCAGAACGAGAGGAATGCAGGGAAGCCCCACTTGGAGTGCACAAGCAGAGCCTCAGCAGAGGACACTGATGGCCATCACCATCTTCCATCACTGTCACAGTGCTGTCTGTTTCCTTAACTCTACACTTGTTTTTGGGGAATAAGATCTTGCTTCTTGTTCTAGAAAGCTCACTGCTGCCACTCTCTCAAGACAAGGAGTACCCAGGCAGCAGGAGCCTGGATGGGCAAAGACTCAGCCCCACCATGTGGCCCCAAAGCAGCCTCCGTCTTGCTCCTGCTTCTGTTTCTTCTTTTAGACTGAGGCTTTATCACAGCCTAAGAGCAGATTGTGCAAATTGCATTTGCTAGCGCTCCCTCAATTAGAGGCAAGAGGAAAGCTGCTTCCCTGGTTCCATCTGAAATGATCAGGATGTTAATTAGTTCTTCAAAAAGATCAAGTGAGCATCAGGGGCCTGAAAAAAACTAAGGTTTTATGGACTTAGCTCAGACCACATTCTGTGGGGTCCAGCCTCCTTGTCCTGCACAGGATGGGACTAAGGGTCGCGTGGACAGCAGGTGGGCAAGGCACACTCCTTTCTCCAGCCAGACACCATGCCTGGCCAGGTCTATGGCAACGGCTGGCTATCTTCAGCTGCCCAGCAGGCAGCCGGGTGGGGAAGGCTGCATGTGGCTGGCAGTGAAAGCCACCATCCTATAGCAGGTGTGGAACCACTGAGAGCCACCTGACTCCTCTCTGCTAGCCTGGCAGCTCACCTGGAACCACCGGCACTGACCCAGGAGGTGTCAACAGAACCTATTGATCCTGGGGAAACCGGCCCCACTCTTTCACAAACACAGTGTGTAACTCCTCCTTCTCTACTTACTGACTTTCACAAACTCTACCTTGTATTTGCGGGTATGTTCTACTGTCAAACTTATTTTACAGTTGCACTCACCATTATTCTCCATTTTATAGCAAACTGAGGCTCAAGAGGAATACCTTCACCATGTTGGACTATAAACAATGCCATTTCAGAACTGGACTCATTACAGCATATTTCAAACCTAAGGATTGGTTCTTACCCTTGCAAGGAGTAAAATCAGTTATAATAAGGTCATGGGAGATAATTTTGCACTTATTATGGGAGATTATGGGGAGATTATACATAACAAAGAAGAACAGAATTTAGAAGCCTGAGATATGAACAGACAGAAAAGCTAGATGATAGATTAATTAATCAAAACCAAGAGAATTCATTGCCATGTTTGTGGCGCAGGGAGACCAAGGCCAAGGTCTGGAACAAGATATGGAAAAGGAGACAGAGTGCAAAGATCAGAGTGAGGGGCCAGGGAAGATGACACCAGAAGGACTCAGGTGACTGAAATCAGAGCTCACTCAGACGGATGAGAGAAAACTCTAAGGCAGTGGTGAGCTGCATGGTGGCCATCACTCATGGGACTTCCCTAAGATCATAGAAAAGGGTACACTTTGTTACCTATAAGAATAAAAGAGTACAAAGAAAGATAAGGACTACAGAGAAAAAAGATGAACAAAATTGATTCAGAAAGAGGTGACAAAAGTGAAATTCAGGGGAGGAAAAAAATCTTAAAATTTAACATTCTTGACCAAAAGGATGAGGCATTGGTAAAGTCAGAAAACCATGGCTGCCTACCAAATGGAGGGCATAGGAACAAACACGTGTGGGAGAAGTCCTGCCTGCCCCACCCCGTGCTGGGGGTGGGGGGTTCACTTACCAGGAGTTAGTCCCAATTCTTTCCTTTCTGTTCACAAACCTAGGCTTCCTTATAGCCATCAGAGTACAGAGGGGCACAGAGGACTCCCAAGTATCCATACAACTTAACTTTCCTCATGTGAAATACCAGATGTCCTCCCCATGCACCTACCCGAATTGTCACGGGGATTGATCGCTGCCCATGTTCAGCTTGCAACTGAGGAAATCTTAACTTGAGACAAACCAAGGGCATGAAAACACCCCAGAGGACACCGCTGCCAGGTGCCAGGTCTCAAACCTTACCTCAAGAGGCAAAATAAAGCTGAAAGAAGTCATCCTGGTTGCTAATCTTTAATTTGGAGCATTTTCCAATCTATACTTCTCCAGTTCCAACAGAGATGAGGGTCATCAAATTTCAAACCACTAGTGTGATGAATGACTTTTAGCAAGTCACATGGCTTACTTATATTCTATGGGGAATTTGCCCCCAAAATGGCCACAGGACTGTAACGCACATACGTAGATCAATTTCATTTCCTTAAACTTTGTTTTTATAAGGACAGCGTTTAAAACTCTTAACATACGATGAGAAAGGCCCCCCTTTGCACAGTTAAAAATGAAGAAAACAACCATTGAACTTGCCTTGCTAGATAAAATGGACACCATGAAGAAGTCTAGCAGAAAGCCCTCTGAAGCATCCTTGTGGTCAAAGTGGAAGAAGATCACGGTGAAACTCAAGTTCACAAACTGGGCAACCGGGTTACAGAAGGAAGTCCGGAGCAGCTTCATTCCTGCAATGACCATGAGGGAAATGTCCCAGCTGTTGGAGAGGAAAGAGCAGGGTCCGTCAACGACAACCTGAGAATAGCTGGGACTTACAACAGCTGCGGCTCTGAGCTTCAGCTGCGCCGTGCACTTGGAGTCCCTGTGCTGTCACATCTATGGGGGGAGGAGTGGGGTCTCAGAGCGCTTGGGCAACTGGTCCGAGGTCTCATGGGGTGAGCTAAGACTGAGACTCAGTCCACAGTCCACAGTGACTCCCCAGCACATCTCTGTCACCGCAGGCATGTCCTTTCCTTCACAGGCTGTTGTCCTGAGTCCCTGTGCAATTCGGCAAGGACACAGAGCTCCCTTGGGACTTAGCTGAGGGAGAGACAGCCTGCTGTGAGAGGGAAGCCCCGCCCTGGAAAGCTTGTGGCCAGCTGGAAGGCACGTGGGTCCCCGCTAGGGTCTGCTGGGGCACATACCTTCTCATGATAAAAAGACTCTGGCTGAACCACCAGCAAGACAAGAGCCAACATTAAAGTTCTCAGCAGAGAGAGAAACCCAGTGTCTTGATAAAGCCACTTTTATTTCTGCATATTAACGTCTGATGTTTTCCTAGCAAACATAAACTTTCTGGTGTATTTTGTGTTTGTTTGTTTGTTTACTTAGCTTAAAATTCTATCCCCACATTTCCCACCATGGCATGGCATAGGCCTTTTCAGCTGAAGAGCTCACCAAAGCAGAGCCAGGTGATGAAAGTGTCTTCCAGGACTTTGCATTGAGCACTGAACTCCTGGACGCTCACGTCCAGGGTGTTGGATTTTAACGGGTGTAGGGAGTGCAACGGGTACCCCTCCCCCACACACCCAAATGTTAGGCAACAAGGAGTGAGCTGACCCGAAATCAAAAGGTAGGGGTAAAAGGTGCAGCTGGACAGGTTGAGGAGCCCAGCCCATTCCCTGGGGGACTGTCCTTCTGAACACAGGCTTTGTGCCTTTTAGGGAGGTCCCCCTCCAATCACAACCTGCCACGTGGGAACTCCATGGCAGTGGTGGGGTGGTTCTAGAGAGTGGTTACCCTGAGAGAGAGTGGGCGCCTCTCTCCAACTCAGTAAAGAACACTGGGACCACACTGCAACTTCCACCCTGACTCATCAGAGTTATCAGCGTCTTGTTCCCAGGCTGAGGCCGCTTGGAAGTGCTGTCTAGTGGAACAAGTATGACTGACAACAATTAACTGAATACTTCAAAGCAGCTCATAGAAGGGACTCTGAATGTCAGAGGTGACCCTATGCCAGGTACCCTCATCATTACACATGGTGTACTGTCCTGAAATATCATACCATAAATATCAGTTGCCACGTGTCAATTCAAACCAAAAATATGTTCTAAAAAGTGCTTCCAAATCAGGTGCAAAATTGCCATTTTTTTTGTCATCAAAAAGATGTAACATTGGCAAGCCCATGGGCCTCAAGCCAATCTTTCATTTGCCTGGAGATGTAGGCTGTGCCTGTTTCTACTCTGCCCCAGGATGCTCTGGGTGAGGTGTGCCCAAGGCCCTGTGCAAGGCTTGGATTTGCTTCTGAGAAAAGCTACCCCTTGATTCTATGCAGAGTTGGGGAAGGAGGTAACATTTTCTGCAACCTCAACTTAGAGCACCCCCTTCCTGAGGGGATGCTGACTGACCCCTGCACCACATGCCTGCCTCTTCCAGTGGACTGCTGAGTCTCCACGATGACACAGATGAAAACATCACCTTGATACAGCCATCCCTGCAGCAGCCCAGAGCACAAAGATCCCTGAGGGACAGCCACAGGCCTCTGCTTATCTAATTCTTCAGATGGGTCTCGGGAACAGAAAGGACTGATGGGTTTTGGTTCTGAGGAAAATAACTCTGTGGGAGTCATCTGGGAGTTAGAAGAGTCAGGAATATCGGCAGGTGCTTCTTTCTGACTGAAGTAGTGCCTGCAAAGATTCCAGGGGATGGACACTTCAGAGGGTGCTCTCTGGACTGTTTATTTGACTGCTGGAGCAGATGCCCTTGGATCTGGCTTTTCCAACAGTGTGGCCTCAACTTGCAGGCTCAGTCACGGTCCTTGTCTTGAAGTTGGATAGAGAGAACTTGTCATCCCTTAGCGGGGTGCCTCATAGCCCCACTGCCCCTACTGTGCTACCCTGGCTCTGATTGCCCATCTAAGATCTGCCTTGCTCTGCAGGTAACTAGGGCTGTGTCCGCTGGGGCTCCCTGCCACCAGCCGAAGCACGGGGCACTCCATACGTAGAGCTGTCTCCTGTGGCCTCATCATTGCTTTTTATCCAGTGTGACTGAGTTTCTTTCTTGGATCTGAAGTCTAAGATTTTAGGTACCAAGGGGCATAGAATTCTTGCCCTGGTCTGACCAAAACAGGGAGGGATGGAAAGGCAGACAGAGGCCAATAAAGGCGGAGCGTTCACGGGATCATTCAGTGTCGCTTTGTGTGACTCTGAATCTACTCAAAAGTCCAGCCGAGCGTTAAAATGCCTTCCACCTCAGCTTGCTCAATCTCTGCGAATATTAATTAGTGTGTCCTCATCACACTCCAAGAAAAAGCAAAAGCGCAGGTTTGAATATGTCTGCTGGGGATTATGCACCAGGGCTGGCCTGGATGCATACTGTTTAAGCAACGTGACTAACGAGCAAATCTGGGCAGAATCTCTTTCATGTCCTCCTACTCGAATACAGTTTTTGACCTGCAACTCTCACCTTTTGTCAGAATGACAAATCCTCAAATTGTCGAGTAGATTTCCATCTGTAAACTTGGAGTTAATGTTAACATCGCAAAGCAATAGCTCAACTGTGCATGGTAAATGCTTTGCAAAAACACAGCGTCTTGACAGTGTGAAGTCCCGTGCTCCAGTTCTTAAATTAAATGATGCTCCTCTTGATAAATGCAGAGAGCGGTGGCAGTGATTAATTCTGCCCTCCTCCAAGCACAAAATGACAGAGAATTCACTAAACAAAATGACACGAGCCAGTTCCTAAAACTCTAAGCCTGATGGTGAGAACTCCAGGAATCCCGGGTTCACACTGGGCTTCTGCAGTCTGATTAGGCTCGCTGACTAAGCTGCAGCAGGATGGCTTTCAGATCTACTGATGGGTATTCATGTTACTTGAGGCAGATCTAACTTTATCTGCACCCCAGTCCTGCCTCAATAACTGTCTCCTGCAACTAGCTGGAGGCAAAGACCCCCGTGTCTTACTTTTTACATGGCTAGTAATGAGCGGGTATGAATTGGTTTCTTCTGTAGCCCTGCTTGAGGACGAGCGCTAGATTCTGAAAACGTTTTGACTCAAATCATTATGAGAGTAAGCCGTTATCTACTTACTGGGTACCAAGTCTCTGGTAATTGCTTATCGAGAACGCATTAATAGTCAGGGCATTCAGAATTATTGCTGGGTACAAGATATATTTTTCAAAACACTGAAGCCAAACATAGAGTCTTTCAAACCACATTAAATGGGCCACATCTGAAAGAAATGAACAAACAAAACAAAACACTTAGAAACGGCCTCTGGTCAGAGTATTTCCTTAAGTACAGATAACAACAACTGGTGATCCCCCCCCATACCTCTCAATTCAAAGGTGCTGGGTGAGTACTCCAGACAAATGATCATACACAGTGATGTAGGTGGGTGCCTAGGTTTTCAAGGCAACTGTCTTCTTCAGATGTAACCCACTTGACCAATGGAATGAGCTGTCACAGAGCATTGAGTCATTGAAGTCAGGGAGGGAGGAAAGGCATGGTAGATAACCGAAGAAAGTCTTAAGGGTTCCTTTTATGCTCAGGTGCTTTTGGGGGTTTGGCTGGTTTCTGTGCTCTCCTCTCTCTTTTTCATCTTTAAACCCACAGTCAAAACCCTGAGTAATATATTCAAATAAGAGGAAGCAGGTCCCCAAACCCTTGTCACATAGTACCTGTACTATTTTTCTGAGTCTTCGTAACAGAGGAAAGACCAGAGAGTGGTGTCTACTTCTCTAAGGGCTGAAGCTTGTAGTCAGAACAACCTGGGTTGCCTTTGGTCTTTAACAACCACTAGGGCAACCTTGAGCTGCTAACTTGACTTTCTGAGCGTGTCTTTGGTGCCCCACCTGACCCATGAGGTTGCTGCTGGGAGAATTCCTTCCTCTCTCCAGCTCTTAGGGCAGGCGATGAGGTAAAGATGGACACACACATATATTTGGTACCACTTGCCCATCCGGCTCCCTCTAACTTGTCTCTCTAGGGAAGAAGAGTGGCAGTCCAATTTCTCAGAGCTTGAACCACCTGGACCACGTTTTCCTGCCTTGCGGGTCCAGAGCCAGGTTCTCTCTGCTTCTGCCTCAGTGAGAGGCATAACAGTCAGGCCAGGGCCCCCGGTGGTCCACCCCTTCCCTGTCACATCCCTGTGTCTGCAGTGACTCACAAGCTGTACACCAGCCAGTCCCAATCACCAGCAGACGGCTGGCAAAGGCACCAGGCTGTGTGGCTCTATCCTCTCCACAGTGCGTCTGCATCTAAATCTGCAAAGGGGGACAGTGACCACACCACCCTTCTGGAATCCCGCTTTTCAACAGTTCATTTAGAAAATTGTCTCTCAGTGATCCACAGCAAATAAAGATAGCAATGCATATATGAATATACATAGATTTGTTTGAGTCGTGGGAGAACAGAAAAGTTTGATTAGAAACGTGAAGAGAGGCTTAACATTTAGAAGTCAGAAATCAGTTGACAGGGAGAGGCATGGGAGACACTGGGTAGAGATGGTTTTGTAACATGAAGTGAAGAGAATAAGCACCCCACAACTGGCCTAATGAATAGAAAAGAGAGAGGCCCAGGGAGGAATAACAAAGTTAAAAATGATAAATTTTAGTGAGCAGTGAAACAGGGAGGAGAAGTCAGAGAATTCTCAATTGAAAGAGTGAGGAGGCTGGATAGGAATTCTCCTTGGATTTTCTTCATGCAGGAGGACTGTTTCCTGGGACGGACTTGGAGATGCATTATTTCAAAATGAATGAATCTGTATACGTAATTAATGAAGTGGAGGTATGTTATGCATTTTGCATACAGATTGAATGGCTTCAACCTTTTGTGAAAGTACGAGCATCTTCAAGACTTCTTCATTCCCTACAAGCAAATGCCTCTGAGTCCTACTTCCTAGGGAAAAATGGAATCTGTCCTCTCGTGGTAAGTTCATCTACAGTCACTTCTTGCTCCTCCTGAGGTGGTGTCCCATCGGTGCCCTGGGTCCCCATCTCCCACCGTCTTGGTTAAGCTCTTGCTCCCCTACCCACATGCTCTCTCCAGGCTCTCCTGTGTGGAGCCCTCACCTTCCACCTGGCTGTCCTCTGACTGCTTCCATCCTGTTCTGCACATCTAAGCTTCTTGAAATGCTGGGCACGTATCTGACAACCCCATGTCTGCTTCTCCTACTTACTGTGGAAACTTCTATCCCTGGGCTTCTGTAGCTACGCCTGCTCAGAACATACTTGGCCTCTTGGTTGCCAAACTGCTGGCCTAGCTCAGTCTATCTCACTGGATCTTCCTGAGGTACAAAACGCCATTGGTCCTTCTTTTAAATACTCTGTGCTCTTAGCTTCCACATCCCTCCCTCTCCTGCTCTCAGATCCAGTCCTGAACCAACTGTGTCAGAAATTCCATGGGAAGTCTGTTTTATCAGCCCTGCAAATAATTTTGATAAGTGCTCAAGCCTGAGGACCTCTGCATTGGACCATCTTCCGCCACAGTTCCTTCGCCAGGTGGCATTGATTACCTGAGTGCCCCCTCTGCACAGATATCCTGGTCTTCAACACTCACAGTCTCAGTCTCTTTTGTCTATAAGATTAGAATTATCTTTCATCCAGAAAAACACTCACTGTATTGTCATTTGCATACAGATTCCTTCCCTTCCCTATGTAAGGACTTACTTTTCTTTTGCAGTCACCCCACATTCTTCCACATTTCTCTGGTTTTCTCTCTGCATTAGATCATTCTTATCTATCCATCTATTATCTATCTATTTCTATTTATATCTATATGTATGTATGTATACATGTCACCAGTAAATAATGTATTACTGTTGTCTATTATTTTAATTACTAGATTCACAAAATTGTATTCCTCATTTAAGCTGCTAGTCGCTTGTTACAAATGCAGATCCTGGGAGCCACACTCCCAAAGTGATTCTGCAGGTAAACGGGTGGAGCCAGTTAGGAACGTCACGTGTGAACCTATGACTCTAATCACTTCACTCTGCGTTCTAGAAGAGCCCCACATTTCTTTGTGGATGTTGGTTATTTTCCAGGAGTTGTCCATTTTCTTGCTCTCCCGTGTAACAATTTCTCAAAAAACTTTTGGCTACACTTCCTTCCTCTCCAACCCCATCCCCTCTTCTCTCCTGGGTCTGCTAAGGTTCTCCTAGAAAACATTCCATGGAACAGCTTAGGTAAGGTCAGCCAGGTAAGGTCAGCCAGACTCCACATTGCTTTATCCAGTGGCCATGTCATTCTGTCTTGCTCAACCTCCCGGCAGGGTTTGGCCCAGCTAACTGCTCCCCGTCCTTGTAATCCCCACGTGGTCTCATCAGTGCCATGTTTTTCAGCATCACTAGGAACTAATGACCACTAGAAACAACTCTGTCCACATCTCCTTCTGGACTTAAGCCAATGCATCCAACAACTCTGGAGCATCTTGAACAGAGGTCTTCTCACCTACTCTGCTCTTCCCAGTGCCCACCGTTTGCTCATTTCACCACTGAACACTCGCTGTGTGACAGACACTTTTTCAGGCACATGGGATAATTATTGCCCAACACAAAATCTCTGTCCTCATGGAGCTTTCACTCTAGCATGGACGGTAGATGAGAACACGATAAAGAAGTGACTGCATGGTACTTTAGAAGGTGTCGAGTGGCAGGTGTCATGGGAAGGAGAGAGTATATAGCGGAAAGTACCAGGGGTACTGGGGCAGTTCAACTGGGTTACAACATCAATGAGGGTGATCACAGGAGTGTGCTATTTTAATGTCGTCTTGTTAAGTGATCCCAAATCAACTGTTTCAGAACAAAACCCTTTCCCTACCTTTCTTTTATACCTTACACATCCAACTTGTAAGCAATTTTTTTTGGCTCTGCCTTTGAAATTCATCCCCAAGTTCAAAGATATCTCTCATCTTATGCTGCTCCACCAATATTTCTTACCTAAACGAATCAACCTTCCTTAAAACTGGTCTTCTTTCCTTCTTCAATATCCCACACCCCCAGGTCATAATCCATCCAGATGTCAGAAGGATTTTTAAGACTTTGTCCGTATCTGACAACAGGGCCTCCAGTGGCTTCCCATCCTAATTACAATAAAAACAGTGGGGAGCAAATCTTATATAGCTCCACTCCAGAGATTCATGCCCCCCCCAGCATAGAGCTGGGGCTGGAAAGTGTGGGTCCCTGCTGGGGATTCTATTGCCTGGACATTTGTCATACATGGGAGGACTATAAACTCCTCCTTGCCATAAGATAAGCAGGACATTATAGGTGTCAGTCCCAGGTGGAGGAGGTTAAGCACGGAGTGTGTGATCCTCTGTGCTGCTTCTTGCTCTCCGCTGGCTCAAGGGCGTTAGGATTCTAGGGTGATCTTGAAAGCACAAAGCCATAGATCCACAGCATAGAAGGAAGCTGGTCCCGAAGTCCCTGTGTCCTTTTCCACTGTGCAAGGGACAGTCAGTAAGAAAAGCCTTTGGACTAAATTCCACTGGACTTTGCAGGAACAAGAGCTAAGGTGCTGTTGTGTTCAGTCACTGAGATTTAGGGGTGTGTGCTAAAGATGTAACCTTGTCCTGCCCCTCAAATACTAGGAAATCCTAAGTCCAATCCCTGCACTGGAAGACCCTAAGGATATAGTGCCTCATTACCTCCTAGCCTTACTTCCCATCACTTGTGCCATGATTCTTGCCCATCAGTGGCTTTGGGAGGCTCCTTGAATATGAAGCAGGAGCTTTGCAATTGTTGTTGCTTCTACCTGGACTGCCCTCCCACCGACTCTCAGGACCGATGCATTCCCTCATCTGTGACTCACACTCACGTCCTCAAGTTCCACATCTTCTGTGCCCTCTCTTGACATCCTGTCTGAGCAGCTTTCTCTCTCCACTGTTGCTTTACTCCAATTTATGTTTTCTTTATAAAACCTATCTGGTCTGACATCTCAGCTGTTTAGGTATTTGTGTTCACGTATAGTCTGCCTCCCCACTGTAGCCAGGCTCCTCGAGGGGAAGGAAGAACTTGATCCCTAGCTCACAGATTAGGAAGCCCACCTGCCTGTGTACAGTTACTGCTGTGGTCAGGTAACCAGTGTCCATCCCCCAAACACCAGCGCCTCGTTTTACCTGTTGCTCCTTTATGTCTTTTGCTTAACATGTTGGTGAGACTCATTCACAAGCTTGTGGCTAGCTGCAGTTCATTCTTCGTGTTTGATGGAGAGGAACTTAGCATGTGAATGC